AGAGAGAGAGAGAGAGATTTCCGGAAAAAGATGGTGAGAAATAAGAGACATAGCTTAAAGAGAATAGAGAAAAGCTGAGAAAATTAGCTTACAGGTCTAGGTACTATGAATCCCGAGAAAAGATTCATAACGGCATAGCATGCGGATGACAATATGGAAGCAACATGAGCATTTGGAGTAACTGATACACATAGCATACCCAGGCAACTGAAGTAAAGGAGTGTGAAGAACATGGTGAAGATATACCACATAAACTTATAGGCACACCAATAATACCCAACAGCCGGATATGTGATAATTGCAAACATGACTGCTTGTATGAATGTGTAAGGAAGCTCAATAACCACCTGTGCAAGTAAACAAAAACAAGGAACGAAAATTGAGATATAGTCAGGCCATGGCAACAAGTCATTTCATCTAAATTATTTTTGCAGGAATTATAAAAGACTAGAATCAACCATAAAAAGATAATAAGAAAATAAAAGAACTACTTGAACCTGAGCAAAAGAGTAAGCCTTTGAAGAGTACATTCCAGCAAATCGCTCTCGGTAAAGAACGGTTCGTTCAGTTGTCACAAAAGGTATGATTGTCGCACTATTCTGTATGCCAAGGAAGATTGTTGCCGTGTACATTGATCCGAATATATTGAACAAGTCTTGCTGTCCATTTCTTCATAGTAAATAAAACTTAAACTTAATTCAAGAAAAGGAATATGCAAGTGCCATAGAGCAAAATGTATATCTTTATCTAAGTATACCAACATATAGAGAAACAAACGTACAGTATAAGCCACCAACATATAGAAAAACAAAGGTATATTATTAACCAATAGACTACGAAAAGTTTGGGTGATCACCATCAGATGAGATGATGATGGAAAGGGAGTGGGAAGTACCACCTTTGGGTTCACATCCTATTCTGGCGGGTCAATTATTTCATTGGGTATTTTTAAATGTTTTTAAGAGGAAGTTAGGCATCTATGAATACCACAATCAATTATAGGTTTGGAATTTCTTCCTATTTGAGGACTTCTCCGTTATTTTTCTGTTGGAAAAAGTTCCCTATTTCAGATGCTTCAAAACAAAAGGAAACGAGAAAAAAAACCCTTTGACTTGGCTGGACTCGTCAAGCCAATGTGGACTTGGCGAGCCGACTCAGCCAGGCCCATGGCCCAGTATGGCTTTTCAAACTCTGCTAACAACTATTTAATGAATTCACCAAAATTTAGCTTCATGGGTATAGACTTGGACAAGTTCAATGGCTTATATTTATAGTAGTAAATAACAATGCACATGGTTAGAATGTATAACTCGAAGTCAAAAGATTGGATTGACAGAACCAGCTGGTGGATTACTTACATTTTGTCTCCATGTTGCCAAAAAAGAGCTCCTAGCACTATTGATGTCGCGAATACAAAAAAGATACGAACCAAGTTGTATTTAGGACTCCTCCAATAAGATAAGGAATGCTTCCATAGACATGTTTTGAATTGCACCCATCCTTTCTGTGGAAAACGTGTCTCGAAATGCAGGTCTTTCGAACCTGGTTGTGGTGTGCTTAACTGTTTAACCAAGTCCTTTCGTTCCCTACATATGAGAAAATCAGTTTTCTTGCAAGAACATAGGTCACACAGATTTTATAAATGGAACTATTTAAATATGAATTAATGGCACTTACAAGTAAAGATATGATTCTTTATACAACTCAGCAAAATCTATGCCAAGTTGCTTTTCCATAGATGTTGAAGTAACTTCCAGCATCCATGTTGCTGGATTATAATTGTCTTTGATCTTGGTAACACCTGAAACACTCTGCTTAGATAGGTAAATAAGTATACCAATCAGTAAAAATTCATAGTATCAATGTAATTAGCAAAGACCAAAATAGATGACTGGTATATGAAAAACAAAAACAAGAACTAAGGATCAAAGGGAAACAAGGACATTGAGAATCTAGTAAGATTAATGCTTATGAACATAAGATCATTTACTCATCTTTTAACGAATAGAAAACCGAAACTTTTTTCTTTAATTAACACACACCTCAAAATATTCAATGACTTGACTTGAATGCCTACCCAAGGGTCCAGAGTATATTATCTGACCCCCCTTTTTCATTAAAATTACCTGCAAGCAAAAAGAAATGTCATATTGATTTGCACAAGATCAGAAGATATTGAAGATCAGACACATAGACACGATAGTGAGATTCACACATTAATGTGCGTTAATTAATATTTACATTGCTGGTTTTTCAATAGTGAAAATAGAGTTGAAACTGATTCAATTGAGTGTCAATGTTGTATTATTATAAATCAAAAGTATTTTCTTAGAAGTACAGAGAACTAGCAGCCTAGTTCAAACAATTGTTCTTCTATTTACCTCATCAAATGATTCAAAAATGTCAATGCTAGGCTGGTGGATCGTGCAAACAACTGTTCTTCCAGTTGCCACAACATTTTTCACTGCACGCATGACAATAGCAGCTGCTCTTGCATCTAGACCAGAAGTGGGTTCATCCATAAATATTATTGATGGATTTGAAACAAGCTCGACTGCTATAGTGAGCCGCTTTCTTTGCTCGGTAGATAAACCATTTACACCAGGAAGTCCGACTAACAAGTCCTTTATCCCATCAAGCTCAATGGTTTCAAGCACTTCATTTATAAATTCCTGTGGTGCAATAACTTGCACAGGTAAAGAAACACATACATTTGATTGGAAGATTATGTATCTATTATGCAGACAGTACGAATAAAAGACATCCATGATGAATAAATAATATGCATAATGCATCAAAAAAAGGATAAAGAACTAAAATTGATATCAGTTACATACAAATCTTGTGTAAAATGGTGCATCCAGTACTAGGAGCTATTTGGCATATCCCTCAGAGCAAAAGCTCAACTGAAAGTCTATTTGTTATACTTAGATTAACGATTCTTAGAATAATATCTTCACTTACAAGTTTAGTCTTCTGATCTATTTCAGGGGCTAGTCTTAACCAAGCAGAATAGATCACAGATTCTTCAACTGTAATTTGCGGGGAATGAATGTCAGTTTGCTCACAGTAACCAGATATCCTTGCAAATGTTTCTTGAACCTTGGGATATCCTCCTATTTTTATGACTCCTTCTATGGTGCCACCTGTTTTTCTTCCTGAAAGGACATCCAGAAGTGTCGTCTTCCCAGCTCCACTGACACCCATCAAAGCCGTAAGAATGCCGGGTCTAAAAGTCCCCGTGATATCGCTAAGAAGTTGGAGCCTTTTCTGTTTCACTCCTTGATCTCTCAAAGCCTACAATAAAGAAAGATCATCATTGTTATTGGTAGCAACTGGGTCAGGATCCAAGTGAACAATGCAAGAGTGGAATCCATAAATTCTTTTGATGGGTTCAACTACCTGAGGCATATCAACAAAGTATTGCACATCTTGAAATGTCATTGTTAGTGGCTCAAAAGGTAGAACCGTTCTTCCTGTTCAATCAACAATTCCACTTTAGATATTTCTCATTTTCTTTCAAGATCATAAAGCTCTTGCTCTAATTTTACTAGCAACCACAATGCCACTGGTTTTGAGATTAGTTTATAGGATTCTCTCTCTCTCCCTCCTTCCCTCTCTTCTTACTGTGTATGTGTGCGTATGTGTTGTGATGGGACAGCTTGTGTCCATGAATCAAAGGCAAGGCTAATATGGCTTCTCTCCTATAGACGGCAAGGTGGGCCATTCTCCTAGTTAATGCTCTGAATGCTCTACCCTCGCTCTCCTTTGCCCCCCACCCTCATTGCATCTTTGTGTATGACATGTGTAAGTTTAATGGCATATTTAGGTATTGACATGCCCCAAAATTTAAACTATAAGGAGAAAACTTGCTTCTGAAACTAATGGTATCCCAACAAACATTTCTGGAATAGGTGGAAAAATGGCACTTTACCTTGTTAATAAAGATGGCTAACAAGCAATGTTGAAGCAAAGAATGCTTACCGGCCCTAGTCTGATCAGGAGTGGAACTCTCAGCACTTCCGTTCCCTTGAATTTGGGAGAGCTTTTCGCGTGAAACAATAGCATGTGAATTATCGGGGGCTGCAATTCCAATAGCTTTTTATTGATTAAAAATTTCAAGAAAAAATGTTGAAAATAGCTAAGAGAAATTCTTAATTTGAAAATAGCTAAAGGAAATTTGAAAATTTCTCACTATAATTTGAATTACTATTAGTAATGGAAGTTAATTATCTAGGAAGGGAATAGTTGGTTAAAGCTAGGTTCCTACTTGTAAGTCCTCAAAGGAAAATGCCCATCCTACACATGGGGGCCTGGGCTTTTGCTAGATGATTGAAGGGAATAGGGTGACATCCAATTTTCAAGTCGCACCTAAACCTACCCATAAAAAGCAAAAAAAGGAAATGCCTGAATTTGGGGTATGTCCATCTATGAAATTAGAATCAGCATGTGCACCCCTTAACTGTACACATTTATTCACCACATTGTGCTACCACAATCAATTTAAGCAGTTGGTTTGTTTTGTACCAACAACCTCCCAAAATTTCAAGCCAGAAGTGCATGTATCGAAGGATTATGGTAGAGATTCAATCACAGGAAAATCTTACGGAGGCAATTCTAGTATTTATAGAGAGAAAACATAGAGAAAAAGCTAAAACACCTTTTGGCTCTAACACCATGTTGAAAATTGGGAGCGTGTTTGGAAGAAAAAACAGTTAAAATAATGCAGAACAGTCCAAGAAGGAGAGTGAACCCAACAAATTTTAAAAGAAGGCACATATTGCTTCAAATTTTAGCCCTGGAGATGGCAGTATATATAAACACTTACAACATGGAAGCTCCGTTAATTAAATAACTACGAAAGCTGCAAGCTACCCATAAAACCACTCAGAAACACACATTCAAATTACAGAGAGCATTTCAAAACAAGGATTTACATCCAAATTCCTCTGAATTCCAAATAATTCTGTCTAATAAGAAATACAGTATTTTTATCACCAAATATATTATTATACTATGTCCTTAGTAGAAACCTAATCAATTGAGGACATGAAAGATGATAACATACTTACAATTTAAGTACCTTAAAGCAAGTGTGAAGCCAATATTGTAAAGTATGGTGAGACAAAATAAGGCTCCCACAGCAACCCAATATAAGGAGCCTTCAAAGAGAAGCCCCCGGCTCCTAAGTGTTTGTTGCCCCACACTCATATTTGCGTATGTTATCTGCAACAGAAAAATGAGGTGCACATCAACTTATTTTGCATTTGACTGTTTCAAACATGTATGGTACATTTATATTTAGGACAGACCACATTCACAATAGAAATTCTTTACTAAATATTTTCATAGTTCTGTGGTTTATTATTTGGCATTCTTTTTACCAAATTATCAGCCCAAAAGTACATCAATAGTTTTGGGAACTTATTTAGAACAGACCCACATCCACCAAATTCTTTACTAAATATTTTGATAGTTCTGTGGTTTATTATTTGGCATTCTTTTTACCAAATCATCAGCCCAAAAGTACACCAATAGTTTTGGGAACTTAAAAGAAAAAGTTGACCATGACATTCTTGTTGGAGAGAAAGTTTGTGCAAATGAATGCCATAAGCAAATAATAAAAGATTTTTTTCCCTTATTTCCTTAGAAATGATCACAAAATCAATTAAAAAGTGGATTTACAAGATATAAAGAAAATCCTTAAAAGACTAATATTTTGTATCTTGAAACAGATAAGAATAAAGACTGATTATTCCAAAAATTTACCTCTTCCCATCTGGGAGAATACCTCAAGATATAAAGAAAATCCTTAAAAGGCTAATATTTCGTATCTTGAAATAGATAAGAATTAAGGGTGATTATTCCAGAAAATTTACCTCCTCCCATCTTGGAGATAGGAATTCATTGTGTGAAATGCCAATCTCTGCATATGTCATTGGAGAAAGCCAAAACCCCCACTTTAACCATGTAGGCATAGAAGCTGCAAAATAGAAGGTTAGTTTAGGAAATCCTCTGTTTATATCACTCTCAAATAAGTCATGTATTTGTATGTATTTCCGATTATTAATCTAATTACAAGCAACCAATAATTCCTCTCTCTCTCTCTCTCTCTCTCTCTCTCACACACACCACACACACACACACACATTCATGTTTGATATGAATAAGCTAAGATATGCCTTACGTCGAGCAAGAACAAAACCGCCGAATAACAGGCTCGCCACCAGAAACACAGAGCCACCAGCTTGGGCAGCAACAAAGGTACCAAATATCGAAGCAACAAATCGGAATGCAGCAGTTGACGTTTGATGCAATCCAAATAGAAGAAGGAAATGGCGGAAAAATCTGTAAACCATGAGGGAAACGAGCAAATAGAGAAATTGCAAATAAAATAGGTCATCAGTTCTTCCTTTCATCGCCAAGGAAATAGTAATTAGTACATAACCCTAGCAAATGCATCAAGGAGCAAGAGAATTAAAGAGAGTTACTGTATATATATATAAATTCTCTAACTAATTCACATCTCATGACAGCGCAGGCTAAGTTGGGGTGAGATAGAATATTAACCTTTCTGGTTCTGGGCTATAACCAATGACATAATAAGTGATGCACGTCCATATAAATGATACAATGAGAGAGTGAGGAAGCTTAAGGATCGAGGCTGGAAGAGCATATGCCCATGCTGGATAGAAGTAGAAATCTCTCTGTTTATAGAACATTGGTAGTCTAGAGACTGTCATGGCCAGCTCCGGAAACCCATCAACTGTCATGATAATTAGAGAGTAAAACATAGCACCCAGATAGTAATTAGCATGAATGACATCAACCTTCAGTCTGGTGCGTAGAAACACGGTCATGGTGATAATGGCCAGAATTACAAGCTGCACGAGGTCAGGCGAAGGGTAAATGAATCAAGCTCACAAACCATATGAAGTTGAAATTAGAACAAAAAATTTATGTTGAAATATATATTTCATATGCTAAAAAATTCTCAGAACTAAGCTTCTACAAAATGTACAATCAACATCCACAATATTTCTTAGTTTCAAATTTCATTCAGCAAACAATGAAATTGGTAGTTCTCGATTAGTTCCCAACATCTATTTGGAAAATTTCCTTTGAGCATAAATATTATTTTTATTTGTCCCTTGAACTACTTAATAGCTAAATACTAACAATTCATTTCTTCCAACTCAAAACTGCCATTTCAAATTAAGAGTGCAAACCTTTTTTAAAATTAGTGGCCAACATAAGTCTGAATATACAAATTTCAAATGATTGAAACTCCTCCATTAATTTCCAAATTGATTACAACATGTATTTTTGTTTTCTTTTTCTTATTCCTTTTTTTTTCGCTTTCATTTTTTTTGTGTGAAGGCAGGGAATGGGGAGGAGGGGACGGGGGGCAGCGGGGGTGGCGGGTTGTGTGGTGTACTTCAGAGGTAAGATTCAAACAGGTTGTGTGGTGTACTTCAGAGGTAAGGTTCAAACGTGGGACATAGTGTTGCAATAGTTAACACCTGAAAGGATCCAGCCCGAGCTCAGATCTTATTATATCATTTATGTTTTTCCAAAACACATCCTTCAAAAAGTTCTCTTTAATTGGTTTAGTAACTGTAAAAACCTGCACCTAATGATTCTCGCATCAACCAACTTGAACAGGTAAAATTGAAGTGACAAAATCTCAAGGTGACAAATGTAGGAAATATCATTTATTGTAGTTCTAAAGCAATGTCTGTTTTGCAGGAGAATCATTCTTTTTTTCTTCCTGAATGTTAACAGGAAACATTTTATTTTATAAAACTGACAAATATGTATCACATGCACAGATAGAGTAATGCACTATTACTTTAAGTGAACAATTACCCAGCTGCCCCAACTTTATTAAGTTATAGTGTACTGCAATAATTTTTCAACACCATCCTTAGTTAAAACTGAACCTTTGACTTCAACCTAGCGTTTTAAAACACACTGATCCAGATTGGAAACTGCCAATCCAGATGAAGAATCGACCTTGAAGGAACAGATTCCCAGAGGGTAGTGTTTGAAACCCCGAATCAGCTGGGCGAATCGTTCATCCAGAAAACCAGCCTGGATCAGTGAATCAATGATCCGACTTGGTGAAGGGGCCAGTTTGGGCTGATCGGACCTTAAAAATAAAAATTAAAAGTCATTATAAATGTTTTTTTTGGGTTTCCAATAAAAATGCGCGTATTGCATCATGGATTTTCATAATTTAACAAAAATATGAGAATACTAAGAGGCCATTTCCTGTTTAAGTATTTGTTCACTATTACATTCATTTCATAGTCAAAATGAAGCATACACTTATCAAGAATTTGAATATAAAATACAGCATAGCATTACCAAAATACAACTTAACACCAAAACAAAAGACAAGTTGCTTCATCTCTTTCGAACGCTAATTCCACTCATTGAACTTTGATACAAATCAATTAGCAGGTTGATGGGGTTCAAACCCATAAGTACCCAACTGACTATACTCCCCCTAGAGTTTCATGTACGAGTCAGTCATGACGAAACGCTCTCCTTACTCGAAACCCGAAAGTTGGTCTATCCCTCGTGCTCGCCTCCATCCTTCTGCTGCTGGTGCTTAGGCTGCATATCTCTTGGGTTCGACTACGTGGCCTTGGAATCATCTCCTCCCCCCTCTCCCTTAATAGGTACATGACCACCTACTTCTCATATGAATTGCTAAAATACTTGCGGGTCACCTCCTCATCCCTGCTCATCCACACCTTCTTCGTCATCTTCCTCACCTATTGTCTCAAGGAATGCTCTCTTACATAGCACTAGCTGCTCCTCTTCCACCAACCACTCTTTGGCTATATCTATGGCAAGTATTGAATCTAGGTTGATTTGGGATGTAGTCCTCCATTTTTTCCTTATGTTTCACTCTCAAATATTCAAATTGTAATGAACATATACTAGCTTTTAAAGCCTCTTTGAAGCCAGCCGATTCCTCTTAGGAATGTGCAACCATTAGAAATACTCTAGATTTGCTCACACCTAGTAGTTGAACATATATGAGAAAGCACCTTGATTGCTATCTTCCTCAAGTGAGGTGCGTGAAGACCATGTACCTCCCGGCATTTAGCTAAAACAAAATTCAAAGGGCCTTGTAAGAAATGGTCAAAGTCCTTTATAATGTGAATGATGTGAAAGAATGCATAATTAGTAACCTAGATCCATCTCAATCTGAGAAGACATAGCAAGTCTAGTAGCAAACGAACCTTCTGCACCCCCATAAATAGAAAGTTTAGGAAAACAACAACTTTTAGTACTTTAATTAAACCCCACTAATGCATCAAGGCTATGAAATTCCAACATTGAAAGCTATTTCTTATCTTCCTCAATGCATGTACTTGGCTCCTATAACTTCTCTCCAATCTTCAATACGGTATCTCACTCCCTCCAGGACCTTGTTGGGAATAATAGGCGTCGAATAGAAATATTTGAGATGAAAACAGAATCCTAAACAACACAAAGATGGATAAACCATTTATCCTCACAGTGATGAAACATTTAAATACATAAACTTTTAAATTGATAAATAATTATTTACCTGGATAGTGAATTAGTTTGTCCAATTGATATGTCCATCATCTCTTAATGATCTCCACCACTATGGCCACAAAACTGCACTACTATCAAATAGTTGCTTTCCCCTCTCAATCACTTATAGAGGATCCTCATGGTGAATTTCTTATCAAAACTCGGCATCCTTAACAATGTCACTAAAGGAGTTGTAGCCTCCACAATGATGGAAAACCTATACCAAATCCTCTTATTAGTGACTATACCCTTTAAATTTCACTCCCTCATGGGATTTGAGAGGCAGTTTTTTGACAACTCTTCAAGGGTAAACAATAGAACATATTCTACATCCAAGTAGTTTGTTCCAAAGTAGGTGATTCCGGGCTGATTATCTCCTTAATCCCAATGTACTGTCTCATCAAGTGAAGGATTTTGACATGGTTATTGATGAATTTGACAACGATCTTGCCCAATCTCGAGTCTTCTTCACAATCTTGCTCTCGCCTATCTCCTCTAACATGAGATCAATGCAGTGGCACATGAGATCCATACTAGATGCCTCCTTTTAAGTATCAACTTCACCTTAGCAGAAACATAGGCCCTAGCACAATCTGTAATAATTTATACTACATGCTTTTCTCCTACCTCCTCAAGTATTTGGTCCATTAATTCTTCTAAGAGCTTTGATTATTTCTTCCCATTGACCTCCTAGAAATGAAGGTTGTCCCACGTGGGCAATAAACCAGGAATTCCAGATAATCTTTTTTATTGACATTTGTCTCTCCAACCATCACTCATGATGTTGACACCCATTCTCAGCCAAGATTCCTTAAAGCCCCCAATGAATGAGAGGTGGAGGATGTGTGCAAATCCATTAAAGACATTAAGCAGTGTTGGTCGAGAATGGATGTCAATATCATAAGTGATAGTTTGAGGGACAACATCAATCAGAAAGATTATTCAGATTTTTTGGTTTATTGCCCACGTGGGATGGCCTTCATTTCCAACAGAGAGATCACAAGGATGAAGAAGGAGAGAAAGCTCTTGGAGGAATTAATAGATCAAATAGTCGAGAAGGTGGAAGATAAGCATGTAGTCCAAATTATCACCAATAACACCACGACGTGTTTTAGCTGGGGTGAAGTCGATGCCCAAAATGATGCATCTGGTATCAACCTCGTGTGCTGCCCACTACATTGATCTCATGTTAGAGCAAATAAGTGAGATCAAGTTTGTGAAGGAGACACTAGGTTTGGTGAAGTCTTCACTTGATGAGACAACATACTGGGAATAAGAAGCTAATTAGCACTACCTTGCGACGGGCTACTTGGTTGTGGACTCTACACTACAATAACAAGTTGTGCTAAAGAGGTTGTTTACCTTTGGAGCGTGGTTGAAAGACCGCCTCTCAAGGTCTATTGAGGGAGTGAAAGTGGAGGGCATAGTCACTTATAAGATGTTATGGCCTAAGTGTTGAAGCCACAACTCCTTTAGACTAAGGATAGTGGATGCTGACAAGAAATCCACCATGGGGATCCTCTATAAAAGGATTGAGAGTGCAAATGTGGCCATTTGATAATGGTGCAGTTTTGCAGCCGAAGTGGTAGAGATTGTTGAGAGAAGGTGGACCGATCAATAGGGCAAACCAATTCACTATGCAGGTAAATGCTTATTTATACGTTTAGAAGTTCAAATATTTAAATGTTTCATCACTATGATGGAAAATAGTATCTCCATCTCCATGTTGTCTAGGTTCTATTTCCACCCAAATATTTATATTCAACCCTGATATTATCGACAAGGTTGTGATGGGGTTAAGATACTGCATTGGAAGATTAGAGAAAAGTCATAGGAGCCAAGTACAGGCACTAAGGGAGGTAAGAGTTAACCTTTGATGTAAGGATTTCATAGACTTGATGCATTATGAGGGTTACTATTACACTAAAAAGTGTAGCTTTTCTCAGCTTTCTATTTATGGGGATTCATAAGGCTTGTTTGCCACTAGACTTGCTAGAATTCTCACATTGTGATAAATCCAATTATGTGTCCTTTGGGTACGGGGATATCAGCACTAGATCCCAAAAGAACATCAAAGTTAAGCATGCCTCAAAAAGAGTAGTACTAGGATGGGTGACCTCCTAAGAAGTCCTTTTGTTGCACCTCTTTCTAGGTAAGGGCCCATCATCCCACTAATTCACCAAAATAAATAAATTTGGTGTCCTTTCACATCCTTCATATTATAAATATTTCGACACTTTCTTACAAGGCCCTTTGTATTTTATTCCAGTTAAATGGTGGGAGTACATGATTCTGACGTACCTCACTTAAGGAAGATAGCAATCAAGGTGCTTTCAAAAACATGTTTAACTATTGGGTGTGAGCAAACTAGAGTATATTCCTATAGCTACACACTGCTGAGCGGAATAGACTAACTTCAAAAAGGATTCTAAAGCTCATACATGTTCATCACAATTTGAACGAGTGATAAATAAGGAAGAACAAGGCAGACTACATCCTAATTGACTGGATGCAATACTGGTCACGAACACAGCCAAGGGGTATTTAGTGGAAGAGAAGGAGCCAATGCTACACAAGAGAGCATTCCTTAAGGTAATAGGAGTGAAAGACAATGAATAAGTTGTGGACGAGCAAGGAGGACGAGATGAACCGCCACTATTTGAGTAATTCATAGGAGATGTAAGAGGTCATGTACTTGTTGAGGGAGAGGGGGAGGAGATTGGCCCTGAGGGGGAAGGGGATGGGAGAAGTGATGTTTCTGACCCCACTGAGTCGCAACCAAGAGATACGTAGCCCAAGCCCAAGTAATATGAAGGTGGGGGCTAGCACGAGAGGCGAACCAACCTTTGGGTTTTCAAGCAAGGAGAGAGGTTCATCACGCTCAATTTGGACATGAAACACTGGGGCAGGTGTAGTTGGCCGGATACAACAACTCTAAACCCCCAGACTTATACATCAACCGGCTCAATGATTTATCTTAACAATTCAACGAAAATCAGCATTCAAGAGACGATAAAGTAGAGAGTCTTTCATTCTGGTGTTAGTTTGTATCTCAATAATTATATACTCCATTTTAGACTATGTATTCATATTGTTGAATATACTATGCTCCATTTTGACTGTTAAATGAATGTAATCGTCAACATGCACTCAAATTGGAAACAGCCTATCAATATTTACATTTTTTTGTAAAATATTGGAAATCCATAATGCAATACCCCATTTTTATTAGAAATCCAAAAACATAATACTTATAATGATTGTTAAAAAAAATTATAACGATTGTTAAAACAAATTTGAAATCTAGATCGGCCCTAACTGGCAGATACACTGATTCGGATCGCCAATTTGTCAATCCAAACCAGTTTCCTAGATGATCGATTTGCCCAGCCAATCGGGTTTTCAAAAATTGCTTCAACCAATGCCTTTAAATTGTTTCCAAACTTTACATTGAATTTGCATGTTCACCTAGACAACTAAATATGAAAAAGTATCCCCACTTACACATGATTGCTAAGAGCCATACCTAAATACCACAAGCACATCTAACAATTTGAAGCAGCAATATGCACACGAAGCAATGTCATACTTTTTCTCTCCGACAATAAAGTTCATGGTTTTTCTGTTGTTCTCATCATATTCATTCTTTTGAGATTCACATTTCAACACTAAAATGAGCAAATCTTTGAGAGCAATTGCATTACATCTTTGATTTGTTAGATAAATTATGCCTACCTCTTCAAGGTATTTGTACTCTTCCTTTGAGAGCCTGGAAATTGTCACTTTCACCTTGGTTGAAACTGATTCATCCTACAACTTATATGCTTCCTCTTTGAATTGAGTTTGCTTTGCACCTCTTTTGTTTCCCAATATTGCTTGTTGGGAGTTGACATCAAAAGGCTTGTTCTAGTAAATCCTAGAATTCCGGTTTGGTCTAACTCATGTAATTTTGGAGAACTACTAAGTACATCTAGAAGTATAAGATGGAGAAGATGGAGGTGCTTTAATTCTTCAATTGCCATCATGAGATATGCTAAAACCATGGAATCAAGCTCCTCAACAACCTATAATTCATAGATTTTAAATTTGTAATAATTCTAAGCAGTCTAGTTTACAAGCTCTAGAACTAATTTCAAGTAGTCTCCCACATTTTTCATATTCATTTGAGGTAGTGGCAATTCTACTGATCTTTGCTTTCTTTACTCATTTGAAGGCATTTGCTAACGTGTCACATGCTAGTCCTGCTGCCTTTGCCTCTGCAAATCCATAAGTTACATGGTTTGAACACTTAATAAAGTAATTCTTTGCACAAGTGAGACTAATAAATGATTTAATATTGACTCGTTCTAAATGTCTCAATGTCTCCACTCAGAATGTTTGATAATTTCTATTGCTTATTGTTCGAAATGAATCCATTCGAGAAATTTAGTTGTGGTACCAACGGTGATAAGATGAGAGAGAGTAGACTTCGGTGGGCTGGTCATATATGGCGCCGACCCAGTATAGCACCTATTAGGAGGTGCGAGTTAGTTCCCGTTAAAGGATTGAAAATGGTAAGGGGTGGGCCCAAAAGGACATGGTTGGAAGTAGTTCGAAAAGATATAGGGACTTATGGCCTCATTGAGGGTATGGCATTTAATAGAGCAGACTGGTGGACCAGGATTTGTGTAGCCAACCCCATATAATTGGGAAAAGACTATGATGATGATAATTGTTTGAAAACTCAATTAGTCTGGCTTGGACTGCACCGAGTTACCTGGACTTGTTAGATGGAACAAAAACCTACGGAATTGGCTCTCGCTATTTTCCAAGGTTTTATTGTTAATTTTTTAAAAGAATTGGCATAGTCAACTTGCTTGACTCACCCTCAGAACCCTAGCAAGTCCAGAACCAAACCCATCTGTTAAAACAACCACTCCATATAGAACTTCATTTGCCAATTCTCAATACTCATCTCTTCCTTATTAGATTTAGGAAACTTTTTTTTGTGGAAGATTATCATTTTTTGCCATTTTCTGCAACTTTAATCTCACACAATTTTACTTGTAAAAAAAAAAATGAAAATCTCACATAATTTCTTCAAACACTAAGCTGAAGGCCTTCAAATTCAAGCAAACACTTTGTGCACAAATCTGATCCCAAAAATATTATACCAACTAAGTTTGTCTCTCAAATCTCAAGAAATTTAATAATCAAATGGTGGGCATCAAATAAAAGAGCAGCACAAGTTTGGATTCCAAACTTGAAAAAAAAAAGACCTCAAAAGAATAGCAAAATGCAGAATTTCCAAGTAAAGTAGTCAACTAGGCACTCATACTAGATTGTAGGCATCCTGAACTTATTAATGAATTCATACACCCACAATCTGATAGACCAGATAATCAAATTTGCAAAAGTAACATTGCATGATAGTGGTTCCACACCTATCAAAAAAAACAAAAAGAAATAGTGGTCCCCCAAAAATTAAAAAACTGTTGAATTTGTTACACAAAGAAAAATAAAGCAAAATACATACATGAAATAAGTATCAAAAGAACCATGAATAAGAAGTGTTTTATACTTACAAGGTTCCCTAGTAGAAAAAAAGAAAAGAAATAGTGGTCCCCCAAAAATAAAAATAAAAAACTGTTGTATTTGTTACACGAAGAAAAATAAAGCAAAATATACACATGAAGTATCAAAAGAACCATGAATAAGAAGTGTAAGATAGGTTTTATTCTTGCAAGCTTCCCTAGTAGAAGTCCCATGTACCCCAAAATTAGTACTCTATATTCAACTTTCATGCATTTTTTTTTTTTAATTGTGTGTGTGTGTGTGTGTGTGTGTGTGTGTGTGTGTGAGAGAGAGAGAGAGAGAGAGAGAGAGAGAGAGAGAGAGT